GATTGCACTGTAGCATATTAAAATAATAATAATAGTAATAGTAATAGTAATAATAATAGTAATAATACTTCTTTCTCTTTCAAAGATGATTTTTTTAACATCACTAAAAAAACCAAAAAAATTCTTTATCAGAAAAACTAGCAATTAGCTTTACTTTAAAAATTTCTGATGCAATTTCTAAATTATCTCATCAATATCATTTCTCATTTCAGATAATAATACTAATATAACTCCAACTTGTATATTTATAGTTAACTATCAACAATAACATCTGATACTATTTCACTTCATATGTATTATCTTTAGCTAATCAGATTATGACAGATACATCTAAAAGTCATTTATAAGTTCATATTGAACCTCTGAAGCAATAAAGAACTTTTTAATTTATTAATAATATCATTCATAATAATCTGAAAGGATGCATAAACAACCTGATTTTTGTTTTTCAACAATTTTTTTTGGCATATTCGTAAAACTGAGAATACAATAAGAGAAAAATTTTTCGTGACATATTAACCATTTAATTTGAAAATAAAAAAATGAGTAAACAGTAAAGTTATCTTAATATTAACTGGCGCTTGTAGATTCGTAAGTAATATCTATCTGAAATTCAGTTGTCACATGCTAGCGCTAGAATTGCAAGAAAACAAATATATCGACTTACTAATACTCAACTTTCGAAAAAATAAATTAAATAAGAATTATTCCATTCGTATAAATATGCACTATCTGTAGAACCTAAATGAAATGTCAATACTTCAAATTATATTTTAAATATACCGATATCAGTGGAAATGTAATATATTTTTTGACAGATTTTACTTGTATAAATTGCATTTTGAATGGATTGTTTAATATTTATATTCGTATGGATGTTTTCCGATCTTTATTTTCTATATTTATTTAATTTAATCGTCCTTTAATTTCTTTATGTATTTAGAATATTCTAAAGCACTGTAGTTCTGAAAATGCGAAATACTCAGTTTATAGCCTATTTGGTCGTAGATAGATCCAATAAAGAGCTTCAGCAGTTTGTCTATCCCCCAGAATATGTATCATTATAAAATGCTATATACAAAATATATATATATCATGACTTCGCTCGTTCGCCTCGTATATGTATGTAATCATTCCATAAATATCTATAAATTTCCTGATTTGCTATTTTAATATCTGAAAGTCCCAAGCACATGCCTAATTAGAGAGCACAAATTTTTTATCAACTTGGCACAACCAATCCGTCACAAGAAAACGAAAAAGTTGTGCAAAAACCGATATCAAATCTAGCTTGGAGCATTATTAAAAAATTTCGGTGAGATAATTTCACATATAACATTTTTTCCAGTTCAAAGTTTAACTATAACCCTAATGATTTCGGCTCTCATATGAATTGCGCATTCTTATTGGTTGGACAGGAACCAAGCATAGATTATAATTATTCTTGTCATAAATACAACTACTTTTCAGTTAATGTTACTTTGTCAATAAAATGCGCGCTGCTGGAAATGCTTTGAAAACCACAAAAAAATTTATAATTTGAATGACTAACAGAAATAAAGATATTAACAATAAATAAAAGAATGCGCGAACATTACCTTTTTCACGCATCGAATGGTTCCTTCTTTTATGTTGAAAGTTTGGTAAAAAGAGGTTTATAATAATTTATAGACAGTTTGTTATGGAATAATAAATATATTAAATCTATCGGAAAATACAAAATTTTGTTGGAATCATTACAAACTTTTAGTAAAAACAAGTAGCTTTCTAATATATTAAAGTTTTTAAAAGACTCCAGAATAAAATATAATGAAATTAACTAAAAATCCAATTATTATACTAATTAATACTCGACAGTACAATATATCGATATTATATTTATAAACTGTGCTCAGTTTTTTGATCACATGAGAATCAACCAATAAGAATGTGCAAACCAATTAATAAGATGTATATGCATTATAACATTGCTCCAACCTAGATTTTGATACCCTGATCTCTGTATTTTTTTTGCATTTTTGTCTTTTTTCATTTTCTTGCATTCTTACTGTTCTGTGAAGTACATGTGATCAGGAAACACAAGATAAATATGATTAATAGGAAATCGGATTTGACTCAATTTAAATATTAACGATACATGTAGACTCAATTATATATCGAGATTATGAGCAATCTAACTAAAAATTGAGTTTATTTGCTGTCTCATTTTTCATGTACATCGAAATGAATTTCGAAATTTTCATTCAGCGTCAGCGTCAGTGTCAGTGAGATATAGGGTTAAAATAGGATTGTATTAATGTGAATAAATTCTCTACATATTAATATTTTGTGGAAATAATAAACTTATTATTCAAGTATAGCTTTGTGTTTATTCAAAATAGTCAATTTTCATAGAAGGTATTGAGGTGGCTCATCTGAAAAAACACGCGACTATGGTGAAAATCTTGAACAAATTTGGTCCAAATATCAAGTATTATTACATGTATAAACATGTACAGTACATGTATATACGTGTACATGTATATATATTTGAATTGATAAATATTTTTTGCACATTATAATTTGCCCGAATTTCTTCAACTACTTTCTATGAAAATTGACTTTTTTGTATTTTTCTTATTTTCATACTGTGCATGTAAATATTACAAATTATTTATAAATTGTCTTAGGATGCAAAAAAATCCATATCGTTTCGATTAATTCTACCAAACAAAATGCAAAAAGATAAACAATTAACTACGAAAATTTTAACCTTTTACATCTTCATTATAATATTATGCTGTAGTTATATAGAATCATTTCCAATAACAAGGTAAATTGCTTAATTCAATTTAAATCAACTTTCTATTTACAAATCCACATTTTTGTTATTGCATATATATAGGCGTCAAAACAGATATTGTTCATGGGATCCATGTAGTGAATCTGATACAGGAAACCTCAATGGTAACGGTAATGGGCCACAAAGTCACATCGGTGACGGTCAGTATGGAATTTCGAAGAACGAGAAATATCCCTGGCTTCCCTCATTTCCCCCTTTTATTCCCTAGAATCTCTATTTGTTTTATTTTAAAATTTTTAATAGCTTTACAATGCTGAATGTCAACATGAATTGGTCATTCTTCTTTTTCAACTATAATAATCTATAAAACACAAAGTTATGGATTTTCTTTGCTTGAATAACAATTTTTTATTTCCACAAAAGAATTAAGCTTTTCAATGTACTGTATTGCATATATAAAACTAATTAAAAAGCCGTTTTAAAAATAATTTGCACTTTAATGTTAATAAAATTGTTGATTCACGCTCACTTTCCATTTTATTATTCTACATTACGAGGCATTATATAAGCTGAAATTGGTGTTTCATAAAGTTATAGCAAACACCTCGATAAAATGAATTTAATATATTATTGAAATTTTGCCAATTAGACGTTTTATTATAATATTCTGTGATCCAATTTTGCTTATCTAATGTCTCGTTATGCTGCAGCTGACTGATGTTTTAAACCTTAATAACTTACTTTGTACGTATTTGTATGCATGTTTACTTAAAAATTATTTTAATAATGCGCAGGAATGTGTTTTGCAACTGAAATTTTGTTTGTCAACTGTTTAACGATAACACAACACGATGATGTATGACAATAAATTTTTAATTACATGTACATGCTTCATTGATTCTGCATCTTTTTATTTCCAAATTCGGATATATAAACAATTAATAATCGTAAAGACTATCAAACTTGCAAATACTAGTCTTGCAAAAATCACAAAAAATGGCTATATCTTGGAATTATTCTAAAAATCCAGATAAATATTTTTCATTATTCGGTGTCAAATATAGATAACTTGATTAATGAGCTAACGATATTTTATAATTCAAAGTTAAGATTCAAAACTTATTCAGAAAAAATTGAAAATTTGGACTTTCTTGTCATGGTATTTATAATCAGCAAACGTTTTGTAAAATTTTACAAAGTTCTCAGTATAATTTTAATTACATGTTAAATGCTTGCAAATTAATTATATGTAATTTTGTCGCTTATTGTTATTAGAAGATTTAGCAGCTTTAGATGTTCTAAATTAAGAAGCTTAAACTGATATTATTAATGCACATACAATAAAACTTAGTTTAGATATTAGTTTAGATAAGTTGTGTTTACTAATACATGTAATAATAATTTTATCGTGCAAATTTGTTATTATTAAGATGACAATTTAATGCATTAACTTCCAATGAAAAAATAGATTTAAGTTCGGAAATCGAATTTCATATCAATCTATTATATTTAACATACTTCGGAATGCAATAATAGTAATACATATTCAGATTACCTGAACAAAGTCAATCAATAACTTAAATTTATAAGTGCCAGCATTACTAAAGTTACCCAAGAAACCTGCTAATTTAAGTATATATTAATATAGCAAGTAATTAAACTAAATCGAAATTAGTTAATTAACAAATTAATAAACCAATTTACTACCTAATTTGCTATGAGTTAGACTGTGCAAGTGATACACTGTCGCAATTACAAAGAACCAATAGGATTAAAAGCAAAAATAACGAAAAGCACGAATAATATAAAACACTTTGAATTAAAAGAAGAATTGCTTTATTTAAAAAATACAAGTTACTTAGAATAATTCTTTTGTAATTATACATGTACACATATTAATATTTCATAGTCACCTATATTGTAGGTAATAATAGTAAAGCGGATTATTTTCATATAGAAAATGTGACTTCCTTTACATTTTCTGATTGATTAAATAGAAATTACATTGAGTTTTTGTCACATTAGATTTACAGTAATTTTTTAATGATTTATCTTTTTTTTACATTTAAAACCAGCATACTAAATTCGTGATTTTATATATAGGAAAGTGATGACATAATTTGGTTAAGAAAAGATTCTATTAAACTTAATAAATACATTATGTAGCGTAAAAGGATTATAATTACAAAGATGGAAGGGGGAGATTATGAATGTCGCATTAAATTTTTTCAGCAAAAATTCTATAAAATTTGAAATATGCCTGTCTCTCAACTGCCTCACGCATAGAATTTATAAAAAAGTTCTCTGTGTCTTCTTCTTTTAATAGACCTCGCTCAAGGGCACTTTTAATTCCCACCTCCGAATAAAATCGAAACGCCGTATCGCCCATCCCACTACCGTACGTATTGAGACTAGGGATTGAAAAGTCTAGCTCCTTTTTTTGGATATTTTGTACTTTTTGTGTACTTTGCAAGAAAAATTCCAAATGACAACCTAGGAAAGGGTTGAAATTATGTTTTTGTAGCTGTTGAGCGACTACATAAAACAATCAGAGATTAACAGAATGAAATCGATATGCATAATAAAAACGCGACTAAATCTTTCAAAAAACTTGCCATAAGAATTTATCATTGTTCCTAATTGTCCCTGCATATATAAATGCACGTCGGCATCACTTATTTCGATCCACCCGCCCGGCCTTAGAACTCGCACACATTCTGGTATTATATTTTCGATTAGCTGTTGTTCCGTGAACCACAGCGTGACAAATTGTAGATAGACGAAATCAAAGTAGTCGTCGTCGAACGGTAATCTTTGCAGTACATCAGCTGTTTGAAATTCCACATTCAATGGTTTTTCATTCGGAAGTAAGTTGACGATGTCAATACCTATAAATCTAGCGTTCTTAAAATCGGATGCATTATCAAACATCCATGTGCCTGGTCCACAACTTTGTTTAACAGGGAGAAAGTTAATACATTTGTTTGTAAAAATAGACAACGATTTTTTTCTAACGGAACTAACCAAACATCAAGCACTTTAGCGCCACCAGCAGACAGCGTTCCCCGAACAGGCGATAAAAAATTTTCAATCCAGATTGCCCGTAAAAAATGCTGTTGCTCTTGACTCTTATCAATATAGGTTTGTCCCCGCTGAATAAAGGGATCATTATCACTGTTATTATCAGTATCACCATCTTGAAGAATTCTTTTCGGTTTACTGGGCTTTGCACCCATTATGTAAAAACTCTTTAATAAGATAAGTTGTGAATAGAAAAAATAATAAATCGGATCCTAACCAAAAACCAAAGGGAAAACATTTCGCAATTTAACCTAGTTTTCAAATATAATATAGGATTAACGCATGGCAATAATTGGTTATATTGCAAAAAAAAATGTATACACAGTAATACATCCATTAAAACCAATTACATGACATGTATAGGTAAATTATAAAGAAACATTGTGCGTTGTTTTACAGTAACAGGTAACATTATTTTTTTTTCATTTCGTGAATAAAAAAAATTTTTACACGTTGAAGATCACTTAAATGTACAATCGGAAATGATTCATTTCCGATTCCGGATTTTTGTACATGTACATAATTTTATTTATCTTAAACTGTATGTACTACATGTACAACATTTTCGCGTTCTTGATTAGATTATGTGAATTCTTCATCAGCTCAGCTCATCTTTTATATTACAATTAATGTATTTATGTATGGCACCATTTCTTCAAAATATTGACGAAGAATTTAATTTTTAATTTAACGTTAACTTTTTCTCAATACATGCTAATTTAAGAATGTACATGCAGATCCCGAATTGCATCGCATGGTCAAGATGGAATAACTGTGACGCAACCTAAAAAGTAATACATGTACGCATTACGTAAAATGATTATGAGATCATAATCCTCTTTATTAAATTATTAAAATCCTGTGTTGTAACGATGATACGTGTACGATATGCAGTGCTATACATGCAAGAAACATGCGTATTCTGTAAAAATTTTAATGTTTTGCGCCGTGACATTTTTCATACCAATCGGATTCAAAAATCAAATATGGAACTAGTTTCAAAACACGATTTTTTACGAATGTGCGTAATAAACATACGTAGTTTCGATAAAAATACATACAAGCATCTCTTTAAATTTATTAACGTACAAACAATATTTTTTCCTGGATATATGTTATGATCAAATATGCGATACGAGATTCATTTTAAATCATTTTGGAAAATAACAATACAGTGGAACGCTTCATGCTTTATTGTTATTTATATAATAAACATATATGAACTTTTATAATCACCTTTTTTTGTATTAATTTATAAAAATAACTACAAATAAAGAACAAAATCACCACAAAACATAAAAGATGCAATACCCGCCGAATTTTACTTCTCAAAATTATTGTTCCCTAAAATTAACTGTATTTATTTAATAAACATGAAGAAATTCGGATTATAGCAGTGAATGAAATTAAAAATTTCTTAAACAACATAAAAACAATTTACCAGTTGGACATCGTCTGCAGCAAAAGGAGCATTATCATTTAATATTATTACCAAAATTGATTTTATTAAAGCTAATACTTGCAGAATTACTAGACTGTTGTCCAACAGGCAACGGTGCTCGAAAATACAAATTGTTCTTTTGGTTCTGGTCCTAAATAAATTGATGAATTGACAAATTCTATTGAAGTAAATTTGTCCTGCTGTTATTTTCTTTATCAATATCCGAAAAGTCAGCAAAGTTTGGTGGTAAATTCTGGATACCAAATGCCGAAAACTAGGTTAGCAGCCGGCGCTTCATCTATAACCATCGCTGCCATTTCGTCATCAATACTTGCTGGCTGACTTTGGTTATTTTCTGGCGTGGTAATATGATCTATAGTCATATTAACGCCTAACAAAATAGCTAATGTAGTCGTCAATGCAGAAAGTTTAGGTAATCCAACATGTGCTTGAGCATCGTCAGTTAATTCAGTTTTTTATTTTCTTCACAAACTATCTTCCTTTCCTTTCTCATCATCACTTGAAATTTCAATACACTCAAGTGTTTGTAGTTCTCGACGATTTGAATGATTTCTTCAAAGATTCATTATTTACCTCCTTTTGGAAATTGATGCAAAATCCTCTTCACTTTGATTACCAATATCTTTCTCATCTTCCTCGGTTGAATACAGGAGTTCTTCGGTTGAGCTAACATCCTCTTCTTCATTAGAAACAGAAGGAGGCAGCAATTTTTTTCTGCAAACTTGCGGATGATGTTTGACTGTTTTCTTCTTATTTGGAGAAGGAAGTGTATTTTCAGTTATATCTATAATTGTCTGTTTTCTTCCCGTTGAAGCTACCACATCTTTTCTGTTAATTGTCTTGTCTTTTGCGGCCTCTTTTTTTTCCGCCATTTTTTATGCCCGATGGTCGCCCACGACGTTTTTGATGTATAGTGTACTAATGCAGTTGAAGGCTTTTTATTTTGATTGTCTTTTATTGCTATCACAATTGGTGCGTTTCTGCGATAAAGTCTTCAATGAAATTCTTCTGCTGTACTCCCATCTGGAAGTTTGAGTGTTTTGCCGCTTTTGTCCGAACCTTATTTCTCAAGTCATTTAAGTCATTATTTGCTAGGACAGATGTTTCACGTCGTTTAATAACCTTTTTTTATCGGGCGTTGTCATTTATTGAAATTATCGTTGTAATATTAGTTTTAGTAAAAGAAATGAGAATCATAATTTTACCTTTTTTCAGGTTCTTTAATATATGACTTATCTGTGTTCGAAGAATCGCCAGCTGCAACCAACTCCTTTCTATTTTTAAATAAATTGACTCGATACTGATAACTTTCAATTAATGGTAAATCTTCGAACGATGTTGTGTCGGTATTCTTTTTGACCTCAAGTTGAGAATTATATGTCGGAGCCATTGTATTTGTTGCTGAAATAAATCGGTGACTTTACTGAATCACGTTTATTTTTCACGAAAGATGATTTTCTGGGAATTTTTGAATCCAGATTCATATCTTCTGAAAACTCCTGTCATTTTTGTTAATAGGTTCGGTATTGTGTTTCAGCTTGTCGATCGTGAGCACTACTCTTCCTTTTAGATTTTGCTTTTTGTTTTGTTCCGTATGAATCCCACATTGAATATTTGGTTTGACTGGCCCTTGTACAGTAACGTCTAGCATTTTATTAGAAACGATGGTAACCTCATTCGATACTTGTAAATCGGACTCGTTGGTTTCTTTTTGCTCTGAAGAGCAATCAGTTTTTGATATTACTTGCTGTTCCATCGTCGATGGCGTTTCTTCGTCATCAGTACACCAGCAAAACGATATGACATCTTCTCTATCATCATCACCTGTAAGATTGTCATTTTGATAAATAGGATTACTACTGCAGCACTGTAAACACTTGTCTTGTTGGATGTCTGACGATGGTGTCTGAGATCTGATAGCGCCAATTGATGAGAAAGTAGAGCCTTTATTATGCTGATGAATCCGTTTCTCTAACATTTTTCGAAGATAGTGCAAAAATTATATTCAGTTTCTCTGAATTGTGTGGTTTAATCGTAAATCTTTGAGACTGAAGGAAGCACAGGTTGATTATTCGATCGATTTATGAGAGAATAACATGCTCCTTTTGAGTAGAAAAATTTAAGACTGATGTTCTTTGCGCACCAACATCATTTCGACTTACAACTACCCTTAAGCTTGCAATATTATTGGAAGTGCTTGACGCCGTCGTTTTATGGTGTGGGAAACTGGGAGAAATGGTTGAATTTGGTAATCTATTGTTATTTGCTCGTATATTTTTTATTGTAATTTATAATTGGTTATTTTTAAAGAGTATTCAGGCAAATTACATGGATTGTTCTAAGAAATTACGACCAAAAATCTATTGCGAATTAATCAAACTATTGCATGCAAAAGAAATCGTCGGTCTGAGTCATCATATGCGTGTTTCTTTTTACCTTCATTGCTTTCCAGTAGATACTTTATCATAATAATTCTAGTTCGTAGAGTATGCTAAAGATTTTTTTTGATTAAAAGATTATTCGATTTCTATGTATTTACAAATAAAATCGTCTCGTATGCGTATTCTTCTTTGTTATAAGAGACTAGCATTTAATTAATGGCGGCAACAAATAAATACAAAGTTTTTACTTAAATTTATAAGCAATAAAGCAAGTCTTATTACATGTTATTAAATAAAATTCATAGTGATATCGTTGAATTCGGTTAATTCGGAAAGAAGGCAGAATGATTTACTCAAAGTGAGATTCATTATGGTTTTAAAAGTCTCTTATGATAATTACGAAGATTTATTGGCAAAAGGTAAGTGAAGGGGTAGAGGGAGAATTAATAAAGGAATTAGATACAAATTAAACTTATTCGAAATACAATGGAACTTATTGAGGGTGACTGACAAAGTAACTAGTATATAAAATACTAGCAAAAACAATAATAAAAAAATCAATCATGACAGGCTTACTTAGAGTGAGGAGCATCCACTACTTGTACACAAGCAGAAGCAATAGTGCCATTTTTATATAAAGATATTTTCTGTAGACATGATTTTTCAAAAGAAAGTTTGGAGTAATCAAATTGTATTCAAAAAAAATGGAATTATTACAGGTAAGAACTTTTTTATTTATTTGATTTGAGCATGTCATTTGAAAGGCAAAGAATAATGAAGACAATATTAACAATAAAGGAATTTCGAAAGAAAAGATTACGAAAAAATCTCAAGAAATATCAATACAAAGTTTTAAACATTAACTAACAAAAAATAGCAAAGATAATTATATTTCATTTTAAAAAACTAATTATCAAGAAATATTAATTAATAAATAAATAAATAAAAAAATAAAGAGAAATATAATTATAAATAACTTATGAGATGTTAATACAAGATCGTAATTATATCAGAAATGATAGAGACATTCATTTCATAAAATATGGATTTAAGAAATCAAGCTAACAAATTATGGAATTATAAATTTTAATATTACTATAATATGAAATTCTTCCAAATAAGCTTATACATATAGTTTAAATACTATTTGAACCAATTTGGATTAGATTTAAAACAATCTGATCTAAATCAAAATTTCCAGTATTTCAATTATGTTGAATTTTAAGAGATAAATTACAAGTAAAAGTATATTGATTAAAAATTAAGTTTAGAATTAGAATTTATAAAATGATAAGTTATATTATATATAATCTGTGATTATTTTTAAAGTAAAATTTTGCAAAGATATTTTTTAAAATAGAGAGCTACAGTTCCCAGTGAAAGAAAAGGCACGTAATATTTTCATCTACAGTGGCGCTCAAAAGTAATGCATCACTAGGATGAAAAAATAAATCATGGAATTTTTAGCAATATAGACACCACAGATAAATGAATCTTAGCCTGTATATAGTTAAAAGCATAAATAAATATAACATACAATTTAAAGAATAAATATAACACCACTTTGCTTAACTTGGACTTTATTACACCAAACTGATGATGCATTTCTTTTGATTATTTTCCCCCTCAAAACAAATATATAAATAGATAAAAAATACACAACAAAACAAAATACATCATCTATAAATAAAATACACTTATGAATTCACTCTTTTATCTTGTATAATTAAAATTATTATGGCACATATTCCTGTCAAAAAAAGATTCCAAATTTATACTCTTCTTAAAGAAGGATATTCTTCCTGTTATATTGCAAATTGTGAAAATATTTCCCAATTCTCTATTATAAGAATAAAGCAAAAAGAAGATACTCATAATACCTTTAAAGATTTACCAAAACCAGGGCATATTAGAATTTTTACTGGATGTGATGAATGAAATATTATATGTCTAATTTCAAATAGTAGTTTTCCCACTGCAACATCTATTCAAAAAAATTAAAAACTGATGATAAAATTGATGTCAGCACAAGCACAATAAAGTGAACTTTACATTATAATAGTCTTTCTTCATAAATTAAGTAAAAAAAACTATATCTCAAAAAAACACATTGAATTTAACATTTAAAATTTGTGAAAAAATATTATCATTAAACTATTAACAATTAGAGCAAAATCATCTGGTCAGATAAATCAAAATTTATGATTTTTAATTCAGATAGATGTGAATATTACTGGAAATATGATGATAAATCTTTGAAAGAGTATCACGTAAAATCCATAGTAAAATTTAGAGATGGGAATATAATAATTTGGAGTTACTTCAGATTTTTTGGTGTTGGTAATATCATACACATTTATGGTCATATAAATAAGAATTTATATCATAAAATCTTAAATAATGACCTTTTAGAAACAATTCAGTAGTATGAAATTAATAAAAATGATGTTATCTTTCAATAAGACAATGATCTGAAACACATGACAAAATTTACATATGAATAGTTTGATGATAATAATATCTGTTTGCTCGATTGGCTTGCCCAATCACCTAATCTTAATCCAATTGAGCATCTCTAAAATGAAATAGATTATTATTTGAGAATGTCATTAATTGATATCCATACTCAAGATCAACTCTGGGATGCAATACAAAAAAATTTGGATCAAAATTGATAATATATTTTTAATTAAGCTAATTGAAAGTATAGAGAAATATATTCAAGAAGTAATTAATACGAAGGGTGACTATACTAGGTGGTAATTAAAATTAGAAGTTAAATTTTTATAAATTTATTTAGTTTAGTAAGTAATTTTGATTTTACTTTTATTTATCAAAATGATTAAAAGAAACAGATTACTTGATTTAATGTAAAATATAGTTTATTTTTTTTTAAATGTATGATATGAAAAATAAATATGATACAATATTTCATCCATATATAGGTATTATAATGAGCCTATTTATATATTGATTGATATTATATATGAAATATTATTAAATTATGAAATTTATCATTCAGATGATATAATACTTTTGAGCACCATTGTATATTTTAATAATGAAGTACCCAAAACTCATGAAAAAATTGTGGATACAGTCAATCTCCATTAATATGACATCATCAGTTCTAAATATTTTGGTCATAATAATGGGGTGTCATAATATAAATCATATTACAAATAAAGTCAAATTTATTAATAAAATGATAATTAAATAGATTTTACATAATCATCAAGAGTTTTTTGAGTTTTTCTTTCAATAAACATACTATTAAGCTCACAAGTAAGCTTTCAGAGAATGGTAAGTCAATTTTGAGTAGATAAAAAAGGATCTTCTTGCTGAAGAAAAAGAGAAATATTATAAATAGAAGAAAGAGCTAATGAAATTAATATTTTAGAAAACTCTGGTCCATTATTATCACTATTGTCAGTATAGTATCGTCTGATTGACTAATGGTATTCATTATTTCTTCAATGCTAAGCATGCGGTAAATAGCTTCATTTTCAGCAGGAATGTCAATATATTCTTGAGGATTCAAGATTTTGTAATTTACCAAAGGTTCAAGAACATTCAAAGCTAAATTTAATTGTAATTCTTCATCTTGTATATTGATTTTGACAAAATGTGTGGTAGTAGTCATGTCATTAGTATTCATAATATTCATTTTTTTCCAGCAATTCAAAATGGTAGTAGTGGTAACTGTATCCCAAGCACTGGCAATATTGTATACAGTATCTAATAAAGTCAGAGATATGTTCATAGTATCATTTTCATATTACTGAAGAAGCTAATGAATGTGAAGATTGTGATAATGAACTTTGAATAATTTTATTATTCCAGTATCCAGTGGTTGTAAATGACTGATAGTATTAGGTGGAAGAAATTTGATCGTGATATTGCTAAGTATGAGACCGTGTTCAATGTGTCCTGGTGCATTATCAAGAAGAAGGAGAATTTGGTGATTCTGAATGCGCATTTGAGCATCTAATTTTTTAATTCAAGGTTCAAATAAAATACCAGTCATCCAAGCCTTTTTATTAAAGGTGTAATCAACTGGTAAATTATTTATATTGATTCTATAAAATGGTCATGATGTCTTTGCATGACCGATAACAAGTGGGTGGATTTTTTCAGTACCCGATGAATTGCAGCAAAGCATAACTGTAACTCAATTCTTTAATACTTTTTTTCCAGCATGCGACATGGTAGCAAGTATTTTATTTGGCATCATTTTCCAAAAGAGGCCGGTTTCATCAGCATTAAAAATATCATCAGGATGATATGTTGAAAGAAGTTCTTGAAGAGTGGTACAAAACTCAGGAAGATTATCAAGTGGGACACTATCTGCTTTACCATGTAATATGATTTGGTGTATACCGTGATGAGTTTTAAACTGATTCAACCATCTATTTGATTTTCTGAAAGTTTCATTATTTACACCTAGTTGTGTAGCAATAAGACCCACTTTTTCCAATAGAATAGCATCAGTGACAAAGATATTAGCATGCATAGCTCCAAGATACCACATCCATAATCCTTCTTCTATTTGAGAAAATCTTGGTGCACGCTCATGAATACGTTTTTTTCTTTGATCTATGTCATAATTTAGCCACTTGTCTTTTTGTTAAAGCAATATGGTGATAAAGATACGCGTCTTCTGAAACTTGTTAGCTATGACCTGGTGAGTCCATGTTCGATCTTTTTCAATAGTTTTTGCAAACTTACAAATTATCTTTTTTTCAGCATGTGTAATTTCTTGTCGGTGCCATTTGTTCTTAGGTAGTATTAGAAGTGGTGATATTGGAAGTGGTGGTGTTAGAAGTGATAATGTTGGAAGTGGTGATAGGAAAATAGATATGTTTGTATCAGATATTTCAGCAAGAGGTTCTGTATCAGATATAATGAATAAAAGATGCAAAAAACACGTAAAAATTAATATTCATTATATTTTGTTAATAACTAGTACCTAAAAAATAAATTAAAAATAACCTGGAAAATGAATAAAGAGATAATAACCTTTTCAAAGATTAGAACGTAGAAGTGAAGAGTAATGAACAAAAAAATTATATTCATATGAATCCTGTTATTATGATATCATATTATTATTTCAGGATTTTTTGGTCATAGTCATAATAATGAGTACTAGTGGATGTCATTATATTGGGAGCAAAAAAGACTTTAATAGTTTGGATTTCACAGTTTGATCATACTAATGCGATTGTCATACTATCGGAGATCATATTAATGGGGGTTGACTGTATATTCTTTAGATATTAAAAAAGATATGTTAACATAATAATTTTCACAGAATTTGGATCAAATATGTTGTATTGAATATTGATATATGAGTTAAATTTGAATAAAAAATTATTTAAAAATATTTTAAACAAGCAATTTTGAAAATATTTTTGTAAAAATATATTTTAAGATATAAAAGAATTTATTTATAAGTTTAAAATATTTTTATTGGATATTTAATAACTATCAGTTAAAAAGACTTTTTTTTAACAATTTATAAAAAATAATAGTAAAATATAGTTAAAATAAAATTTTTATTATGATTTCTTATGAAAATCATTAAATAAATCTTTTTTAACTGAAATTTATTAAATAAATATACAATGAAAATTTTTTTTAAACTTACAAAATATATTCTTTATATCATAAAATATATTTTCACAAATTATTTTCAAAATTGCTTATTGAAAATATTTTAAATAATTTTTTATTCAAATTTAACTCATATCAATATCCAAGCCAGTATATTTGTACAAAATTCAGCAAAAATTTATTAAATTAATATGCCTGGTATTATTAGAGAATCTTATTTTTAATATTCTAAGAAATATATCTACAAATTTTAGGTACTTCATTGTTAAAATATAGGTAAAAATATTATTTGTCATTACTTACACCAGGATTTGTAGCTTTATTTTTAAGTTAAAAATAAAAATATTTATAATAAAATTCAATCTTTTATATATATTATATGTCAGAACAGGATGCGTATTGATTTGGAATCAACATAAGTTGATTTAGAATTCATTACTAATACTTGTTGTTTCAAAATTCCAATTTAACATAGATTAATTGTTATGTTAATTCCAAATTGACACAGCCAATTACATTTTACACTACAAAATTACATTTTTCCATTAGCCAATCATACTATTTTCAAATTACTCATTCTTGAATACCAATTTTTTGAGCTGATATGTCTTTTATAATATAATAATAACTACTCAAACTCAACTATCTTATGATTAACTTTCTCAAAAAATATTTCTTTAGTAGTTGAAGAATATTTGTTAATTAGAAATGAAAAAAGAAGAGCCAAAGCCTTGCTTACTCGTGATAATATAAAAAAATATGTTGACATACTGGAAAAAGATCAAGAATCTGAATGTTATACAGCCAAACTTTATTACTGGCTATAAAATACATTTTATATCATGGATATTAGAGAAAGATATGCACTTTTTTATATTAAAATCTGAAAATCAGTTTGTATGACAAACTGTGTGAATTTCATTTAGAAGTAAGATATGGGAAAATGAATAAAATATATAATGTTGTATATTATATTATTTTTAAAAATCAATTAATTATTTAATAAAATTAATAATTCTTATTTTTAGATTAAGGATAAGTATTCATGAATATCTGAGAATTTGATAAGAAAATTTTGTACTTGCTGCATGGATGCATTATGTAATGATCACTAATTTAACTGATAGTTACAAAATCTATTTAGCAAAAGATTTCATATACTATCTTTATATAGACTTGATTAATATGCACAGTTAACCAGATAATTCTTACAAATATATTTGTGATGCTTATGATTATTTTTTAAAGTTTTCTTAATCTTCTGTGTTCTTTTCTAATAAAGTTAAAGAGATGACAAGTTTTCTTTTTAAATTTTTTACTGGATTTGGATCTTTAATCATTTTATAAACTGATAATTTATAACACAAATATTAAATGATTAATAGCACTTTTGGTTAACTATTCAGATTATAAATAAATAACTAATATATTCTTAATTCAAGAGTTAATTAAAAGAGCTAATAATATACTTCAGCAAAAGCTTTCAAAGCAGATAGAAGATAATAAAACAGATAACTGGTCAAATAAACTTTACTAAATAATGTGTAAGTATAAATTTTTTTATCATATTATTAATAGTTACTAATCTATTTTATTTTTTATATATAATAAATATAGAAGTTTTTTCAGTTATAGACTTTCATTATATCAAATAGTTTTTGGCAGTAAATCTTATGTAAATTATTTTTTTCTTGAGTTTCTTTTTGATTAATTAATTATAAATAAAAAAAATCTTTCTGAAAATTTGAATAGCAAGTCAGGTAATAAAAAAACTGAATTACTAATAATAACAAGTAGATGATTCTAATAAAAGAGATATTTTAAAAATATCTGATAACTAATAATAATAGCAAGTAATAAAAAATGTAAATGAGAAGAATATAATAGTGACTTCTAATAACTAGTAGTAATAATCAATAGAAGTTAGAAGGAATATAGAAATTCTTAATAACTAATTATTATTATTATTATTATTATTATTATTATTATTATTATTATTATTATTATTATTATTATCATTATTATCATTATTATTACTATTATTATTATTATAATAATAATAATAAGAAGAAAAAGAAGAAGCTGAATATCTATTTTAATAATTCTTATTATGCTTCAGATTTGATATCAAGTAATAAAGTTATTATTTTTTGCTATTTTACTATATAATCTTTATATTAACTTTTTTTAAGTTAGTAATGAATATAATATATAATATAATATTATTAATCTATTTACTGAATATTATTAAGTATATCAAGTTATACATAATCAATATATTAAAAATACTAAAGTAATACAAGAAAAAAATATTGCATAAAAATATTAAATAAAATTATTAGAGAATTGATATTCCAAAGATTAATTATTCAAGCATTAACAAAAAGCTTCTTATATATAAAGTAATTAGAATTATTAATAATGAATTCTATAAAAGTCAAAAATACTAAATTTCTATTATTATATAATAGAATTAATAATCACAAAAGCTATAGATTTTTCAGAATTATAAGAAATACTAAATATCTTGATTTCTTTATATAAAGTATCATTATATCAAAACAGAAAGAATACTTAATTATCAATATAATTATAAGGGTAATTGTAGAATAATCATTATAATAGTAAGAAAGCTAGTATTTTATGTAGTATACAATATCATAATAATAATAGTAATATTGTAAAAATCAAAATTAATAATAATTTTTTATTGGATAATGAAAGAAAATAATTTTATTAGATATTGTAATATAAAATATATTAATTCAGAATCAATATAATAATTAATTTATATTGAATTAGAATTTTAAATTAATATATACTGAAATATAATCCTGAATTAACTTATATTAATTCTAAATTAATATGCATCTTATTCTAATATATGACATATATAATAAAAAAATAAATATATTATTATTATAATTAGTAAAAATTTAAGTATTATAGTATTTTTAATTATTATTATATTTCTATTATAATTAAAAATTTATATAAATTTATAATATATAAATATTATATATTATATAATAAAATTAAATTATATATTTTTTATTATTTTTACTAATTAAAATCTCTTTGATTATATTATTTATTTTGATACAAATGAAACTAATCATAGTGATTACCTATATAGATCAAAAAAAATTT